CGGCGCCAGGGTATGGCTGGGGTAGGCTACAGCCATACCAAGAAATGGCTTAGCCCCACCATAGCCCCACCATGAAAAGTGATTCAAATTCAATTAAATAATAAGCGAAATGCTAAATGTTGAGAACACGGATTGCGAAAATATACGGGTCGTGTCCACAGCACACAAACTGATCCTGCTGTAACAACAAGTGCACCTTACTGATGCAATATGGTTGAGACCATTCGGGCTTATGCTATAAGAGGGGTGCAAGGAATAGTCTAAGTAGTGGGGGAGTTTTATACACTAAAGGTGTGGAAATTCTCTGGCGTTATAATATCAGCGCGGCCGCGGTCAGATCAAAATGCCTCCGAATACAATTTGAATAGACCTACAGCCAATCAGAGCAACGAAACGTTGGATCTGCGTCATGCCTTATTGATTGAGATCAATCGAAACCGCCATTCAGTATCCCCATTGGATCTTCAACGTGTACTATCATACGTCACGTTCACAGTGATCCCTTTTTATTTACTACAAGACAAATGTGCCGTTTTATTTCATACAGTTCCATTTTGATTGAGACAGGGAAATAATCTAAACCTCACGCGTGGCGTTTCACTGTCAAGGGGGGTAATATAGCGTGTATGTAATTACATTGCAAATACTGACTTGAGCACCACCACTGTATGGGTTAGCCCTACCATAGATTACCCAACAAAAATGCTCTGGCGCCGCCACTGCATGTCTGAGATGCCTGGTGTCCCAGAAGCCTACCACCTGGAGCAAACATCTGATCTGGGTTGAGTATGCACACAATACCTTACCCACATCAGCCACCGGAATCTCTCCTTTCCAATGTGTCCATGGATACCAGCCTCCATTGTTCCCGGAGCTCGAGCAAGAAGTTACCGTACCATCAGCACATGCTCTGGTTCGCCGCTGTCGCCGGGTATGGAAGGGTGTTCGCCAGATGCTGCAGAGAAGTGCGACCCGCATGAAGAGTTTGGCCGACCGAAAACGACGTCCATCTCCTAGATACAAGGTCGGACAACGAGTGTGGTTGTCCACCAAGGACCTTCCTCTTCATGTCGCCTCCAGGAAACTGGCCCCCCGGTTCGTTGGTCCATTTCCCATTTCAAAGGTTATTAATCCTGTTGCTGTTCGCCTATGTCTCCCAAAGTCTCTCAAGGTCCACCCCACGTTCCATGTCAGCAAGCTGAAACCAGTTTTAGAGAGTAGACTGGTTCCCTCCTCCACACCACCTCCACCTCCTCGGGTCATCGACGGAGGTATCGTCTATACAGTGGAAAAGATACTGTCAGAAAGAAAGCGGGGTAGAGGGAGACAGTTCCTGGTCGACTGGGTAGGGTATGGACTAGAGAAAAGATGCTGGAGTCGTCCGTAAAAGGGGGGGTACTGTAAGGTTTTAGTGTTTGTCTATCTGTCTTATTTTGACATGACTCTGCTCTATCTTTCCAGGTGTCTGCACTTCCTGTCTTTGTGTCACCGGTCAGACTGATTGTTGTTCCCGCCCCTGATTGTGTCCACCTGTGCCTCATTACCTAATGTGTGTGTGTGTATATATAGTCCTTCTCTCCCTTTGTCTTGTGTTGGTTCGTCTTGTCTCTTCATGAGATCCATGCCTGTTACCAGAGACCTGTTGTAAATACCTAGTCGAACCTAAGGATTCTTTGGAATGTCCTAGTAGATCCTAGAAGACTTTGAAAAGCTTTGTGATCTTTATAATAAAGAATATTACAAAGCAACGGAATCGAGCATCTGAGTTCTTAAAGAGCCCTTCGTGTCAGCTAGGATACCGGATAAAGTTAGCAACACACGTTAACCATGAACAGCCTATTAATCCGTTCTCCTAATGTTATTTCATCCAACGTTGTGGAATTAGAGAAAAAGGGCTTCTAAACGTGATTTTTTTGTGGGGAATATAATATTAGTTAAATATAACATTGGGGCACGTGTGATTGTAATGAGTGGAGGTGGAGAAATTACGATCTCCATTTTGGAGTAGGCCTACAAACTAGTATAATAAAGTTAACGTTACACAATAATAAGGAAGAGAGCTATGTGTGTGATACATCGCTATTGATATGAATTTAGAGTGCATATTTGAGACTTCCAAACAGTAAACAAAAACGTAATTTATGGGTGAGTGTTTTTAGTGTATTCTGTTGATTATTACCTGTCTGTATTATGTTGCAGCTCAGCTGATTTTGAAATGATGGCAAAGTGAGAGTGAAAACACAAGGTAAATGTAATACTACTGTTGTATATAAGTAAGCATACTAAACATGTATTCTATCACTGTATTATATAAGTAATCTTGTTAGTGTATATTAGTAACCTACTGTATGGCAGGTGGAGGGGCAGTGATGTTACAGGTGGAGGACTTACTGGACATGTATACACTCATTACATACTGTACGTAAAATACGACCAAGAATGTGAGACAACTTTATACAAATTCATATCACATCCATTACTGATGCCATTTGTCATACTTTGTTAAACTCACAAATAATAAAGTTCCATAACTTCAGTTGGAAACAAAGACCACACCTTATCTCCCCAAGGCAATTTCCCATCCAATAGGTGTGCTATATAGGTGTGTATAACCCTTTCTCCTGTCTGTTTCTCCCTCTTTCAGCACAAGAACCAGAGGGGGATTCAATAGAGCCTGAATACCTGCACTGAGACCCTCACCCTGCACCCTGAGTCTCAACTCTCAGAGTTTTTCAAGCCTTTCCCTGTTATTTGTATTAAACCAAACATTAAGCTTCCCAATGGTGTGGTCTTCGTTTTGTGGAAAAAGTGCAAATGCAGTGTTTGAATATGATTACCTCACATATTTTTTTTTGCGGCTGTCTGTTTTGATTGTTAAATTGCTCCTGCTGACTTGAGCTAGCCATTTTTTCCTCCTCTCTGTGTCAGTGGGGAAGCCGTACATTCTGATTCCTACTCCTTTCTCTGAGCGATTGGAGCATCCCCAGGCAGCACAGCAAACCATGGTGGAGACGATATGCCAGGACAACACGGAGGAAAAGGCACAGACAAACTGCATGACATGCTATTCAATGTTTATTGAATTCCATGTATTTACAATGGATGTTCCTAAAACAACACTTTTAACGTCATAATCGTGTTGCTGCTAGTCCATTGATAGTCACCTGTTGGTCTCCTGTCCTTTCTGAAAGTCATAAAGATGACATTAGTCATTTAGATTACTTATGTCCTCAAGTACCATGGGATTACTGAAACCACCATGAATTAAAAAAATGGTAGAAATTAATCTAATCTAAATTTTGAAGCATTCCTTGCCATCCCCTCCCTCTAAATATATCAAACATTAGGAAGTGATGCTCCTGACTACCATACCTGTTTAAGAAGATAATATTTGTTTTAAATAATTCAAAGCAATACACAACAGCAACAGGCTCTTTAACCAAGGCAACAGCCTAACATGTATATGTTAACAAGTAAACTAGCTGTTCACACTAGTCCTAATATTATCCATAAATATTAGCAGATTCTATTTATTTTTTAAAACATATTGATGTAAATACATACACATATCGGTATGTTGTATAAATATTGCAAATCAAGACCTTTATTCACTACTTATTACCAAAAATCGTAGTTCTATCTCCGGTAATCATGCATTCATATGTCCTGCCACGAACTTCCGGGGAACTATTGACTCTCCCTGAACCACGTGACGATCAAGCATTTTGGACTTCCGCTGTCATAACTCTCTCTCTATATGGCGCTGGGTCACATGACCTGGAAGGTATTGAAGCAATATGCTCATTTTTCCATCAAAATATTAATGTGAAAATATTTAAAGTATTAAAATGGAATAACAAGAGGTGTGTCCTATGCAGCCAGTGTAGTTCTTTGACCCAGCACTGATTTTGAGTGATTAGGTCACATGACCTGGAAGGTATTGAAGCAATATGCTCATTTTTCCATCAAAATATTAATATAAAATATTGAAAGTACTAAAATGGAATAACAAGAGGTGTGTCCTATGCAGCCAGTGTAGTTCTTTGACCCAGCATTGATTTTGAGTGATTAGGTCACATGACCTGGAAGGTATTGAAGCAATATGTTAATTTTCCCATCCAAATATTAATATAAAAATATTTAAAGTATTAAAATGCAATAAAAAGAGGTGTGTCCTATGCAGCAAGTGTAGTTATTTGATCCAGCACTGATTTTGAGTCATTATGTCACACTACCTAGCAGTTATTGAAGAAATATGCTAATGTTTCCATCAAAAATATTAATAAAACGTATTTAAAGTATTAAAATGCAATAAAAAGAGGTGTGTTCAATAAATGTATGCTCTAGAGTGAATTTGCTTCACATTCACACGATCGAGAAGCTGTCGATTTATTAAAAAGAACATTTTTCTTGTGTAATTGTAAAAGTCATTTGTTGATGGTCCCTAAGTGAAAGCCTCGTTTCGCGGAAAAGATCTCCCCGTTAAACTGACGCTGCTGGCGGGTCCGGGAAACTGACGCTGCTGGCGGGTCCGCTGTCGATTTATTAAAAAGAACATTTTTCTTGTGTAATTGTAAAAGTCATTTGTTGATGGTCCCTAAGTGAAAGCCTCGTTTCGCGGAGAAGATCTCCCCGTTAAACTGACGCTGCTGGCGGGTCCGGGAAACTGACGCTGCTGGCGGGTCCGCGAATGTCCGTCGAATATCCAACCTAAAACTAACTTCACCGCGGTTATTAAGTTGCATTGTTGGAGGAGCCTGGGAAGATGTTCATTGTCATAACTACACTGTAGCTACTGTGAATGTAACAATAAAGCCTTTGAATCTTTGAATATTTAGGGATTATTAAGAGTCTTTACTTACTATCATCATCCATTAACAACAACACATTTATTTATTTTATTTGTGTATTAAAATTACGTGGTTTCCAGACAGACTTTCCAGACTTTATTCTGATAAGTCAAACCGGAAGTGGTCATTCTTCCACTTCCTGACAGAGGAGCAGTAGCAGCAACCTCTGTAAACACTGAGATGTCGGAGTCTCCGGACGCCCGCAGCCTCCTCTCGGCCTCCTCGCAGCTCAACCTGATGGAGATAGACGCGGTGAGACACTTTATACTTCTGTACAAACTACTGTAATGTCATGGCGAGGGAGGTATGGAGGGAGAAGGACCAGCCGCAGCAGTGTTGTTGTCCCGTCACAGAGACCCCATGGCGGGCTTGGGTCTGACCTGTGGGTCCTACACCATCCTCTCCTCTCTGGCTAGAGAAAAATACGTTTGTGTTAATAACAAAATGACCCTAGCTCGTGACAGGTACAACTGAAGCCCAGCTACGCACGCGGGATTCTCCTGTAGATCGCCTTTGTGAGGAAAGCTCCTGGAATTGTATAGTAGGACATTTCTTTGTCACATTAAATTAAATTAACATAACCAAAATGATCTACCCTGTATTCAGTTGCAACCGCTAATGTTGTTTCTTTAAGGTTGAGTTTGTGTTCTGTATCAACACATTTGTTACCAGATATGTAAATAATACTGCCTTGAACACCATCACGTGATCATGTAGCGTTATTGTTTACTATGCAGCTCCCTCTTATGTCAAACATTTATTAATACAATACATATTGACACTAACTGTGCTAAATAAAGTACATTTAAAAAAAATCTTCTCTTGACGTAATTTTCACAATTTTGTGCAGGTTTAATGGTTTAATCTTTGCTGTCCGTGCTGCGTTCAAGCCCCGTCACTTCCCGTTGTGTTTTACACGCCCAACAAACAGGAGCAGACCGATTGAACACTTGTTATTTGGTAGACTTTACAAGATTATGATATGGTATACATGGAATATGATTCATAGCATATGGTAATTGCTGATGTATGTACATGCTCTCTGAAAATAAGGTCCGCAGTCTGAGTTAACCTAAAAGATGCCGACTGACCAGGGCAGTATTTCCCAGAAGCCTCTGCTCTGATTCTCATGAATGAGCTTACTTGTCTTGCTATGTCTAAAGTAGATGAATTTGATAGATATACAGTATTTGGGTTAGTTTATAAACTGCATCAAAAGCGTCATACTTGTCATTGTCAACCATATGTATCTTTGCATCAAAGGCCAGCATATCATTTTTTCCATTTGTCATGGTTAAGGTTAAGGTTTAGGTTACTTTATTTATATAGCACATTTTCAGACACAAAGGTAATTCAAAGTGCTTTACATCAACATTAATACACAATAGTTAAGAGAGAAAATTAAATAAAAGAAACACAATGGAATAACAGATTCATTACGACCATTCATAAAAGAGATACAACGTTTTTTTTAATCAACATTGTAAATACAGATGATGCTGCAAGAAGTGTAATGATAAAACAAAGTTAAAGGACTTCTGGGTAAGCAGCAGTGAAAATAGAGACTTAAAAGAACTCGGGGTTGGTGAGGATCTCAGGTTTTCGGGAAGTTTGTTCCAGATGTACGGTGCGTAAAAAGTAAAAGCAGCTTCGCCGTGTTTGGTTCTGGTTCTGACCCGGGGGAACAGGGAGTAAGCCAGTGCAGAGATCTAAGAACTGGGGTGATGTGTTCTACTCTTCTGGTTTTTGTCAGGACTCTGGCCGCAGCGTTCTGGATGAGTTGCAGTTTTCTGAGGGATTTTTTACAGAGACCTGTAAATTCACTGTTGCAGTAATCAAGTCTGCTAAAAACGATTGCAATAATTAGTTCAAGGTCTTGTTGAGACATGAGTGTTCTAAGTCTGACTATGTTTTTTAGGTGATAGTATGCTGATTTAGTAATTATGTTAGTGTGGGATTTGAATTGTCAGATGTTTTAAGTAATAGGGCTTCTAGTCCTTTGGCACCAACGATAATTGTCTCTGTTTTGTTTTTGTTTAATTGCAGAACATTGTGGCTCATCCAGTTGCTGATTGGTTCCATGCAGTTGTTACGGGATTGTAATTGTGTGTTGTCTTGTCACCATGGTTTATCGTAATGTATAACTGAGTGTCATCCGCAAAATTGTGGTGCAATATTTTGTTTATTTTTAGGATCTGGGCTAGTGGAAGCATGTTTATGTTGAAGAGGATTGTACCAAGAATGGACCCTTGGGGAACTCCACATGTCATAGCTGTTTGTTGTGGTAGACCCCTTTCCCGAAAATGGAGGCACTGACCATTAATCTTATACTTTGTAATAAAAGATGCACATTTGTTGCATTCTTCAGTAGAGAGGAGTTCAGGGGCAATTGATATGGGGGTGTTTGTACCAAGTATGAAGACTGTCCTTAAATGTCTCAAAATGAATATGAACATGCGTTCTGTGTTAAGTCAAAACTAATATTCCTGGCTATAGTACAATTCCACACAGCACTGATTTGACTGGATAGCTCAGCGACGGATCATCACAGTTTTGTATTTATTGCAGTTGGTGATTATTACTTGGTGCATTTATTGAACTGCCAAACAAAGTCAGTCGCAAAATAATCGCATTAGTTATTTTTCCAAATCTTGCAGCCTTAGTATTATGCTTTTCATATAATCCTTTATTTTTTAAATTGAATATGTTTTTGAGATGATTAGTTACCTTAAAATATATTTGTCTTCAGCACCATAGAGTTCTGACCATGAGATCTGTAAAATGGTGGGAGCTGCATAAGGCTTAATGCAGCTGGTCAGGAGACTCTCCCTGTCTCTGTGTTGGTGAGGAACCTGAAGTGGCTGACTCTCTCCACCTTAGTCCCGTAGATGGAGCCACCTTCTTCTCTGTGTCTCTTCCTCTATTCAGTTTTTTAGTTTAGCTGACACTAACATGGAGGTGGTTACATTACATTACATGTTACTTGTTAGACGCTTTTATCCAAAGCGACTTACATACTCAATACTGTGGGCAATCCCCACAGGAGCAATTTGGGGTGAAGTGTCTTGCCCAGGGACACAACGACATGCTGACTGAAGTGGGGTTTGAACCTGTGACCCCCTGATCCGAACACCTACGGACAACCCACTACGCCACACGTGGTTGTGGCACAAAGATGTCAATGCTCTGACCACCTCTCTGTGCTCTGTCTTGTTGCTGTCTTTGATCAGTTGGATGCCGGTGCTGTCATCAGGAAAGTTGATGATCATGTTGGAGTGGTGGGTAGTGCAATGGTGGGTGAACAGCGATTACAGGAAGGGCTTTGAGGGGTTCCGTCAAGAAGTTCAGGATCCAGTCACATGGGAGGTTGACTCCAGGGCTCTGAGCTTTATGACGAGATTTTGTCCGACAGCTCAAAGCTAATACTACCAGTTAGACGGACACAGGTGATTTAAATATGTAGACAACAACGACAGCACAAAGTATACACATTTATAATCCTTTCTTGTAAAACTTCTGTTCTCAGATCGATGATAAAGAGTTTGACATTCCCCAAGTTGACACACCTCCCACCCTGGAGAGCATCCTTAATGAGGTGAGTTCATGACACACTGTGACTGTGAACACTGCATCACATCCAATCCTGACAGGACACGCTCACTGCTCTGAGTGAACAAGAGAAAGTGGGGAGTGGGATATAGACTTGAAAGCTGTTCAGCCGTTATGATGTGTTCATATTATATTCATAAAATTGGATGAGACTGTTTAAATTTGAAATAAAAAAAACAGAAGGTAAATTCAAGCTATATTTTCTATTAAATATAACATGTTTGCCGCCTTTGATTTCAGTCCAATGCTGTATGTGCTGTGAGTGGGAAAAAGTGATAACAACTGCTTAGCTGCTTTTTGCAGTTCTTGTGGTTAAAAAACAACCAGGATTAAGCTTGAACCATCGAGTAAAAGAGACTGAACTTGTTTCTGAGAATATAATATTGGCAGCATATTAAACCTCAATTTAGGAATGACTACACTGTACAAAACAGTAGTAATAGACGCATAAGGGGAAATTCCCTCAACAGGTTAAGGCCCCATTTACACGAGAACGAAACGGCTTGTATCTGCATAGTTTCTCTTGCGTATAGCCCTATTATTTACACGAGGCCGTAACAAACGGACCCCACAAACGATAACGGGTCCCAAGGTGGATAGATTTGCAAATGAAACGCTCTGGGGGGTCAAACGAGTCCGTGTAATCGCCTCTATACGAATATTTCCTGAAAAAATAACGATAGCCCCACCTCTCCGCGCCTCTGCTGCTCACTGCTGTAGCATGGCCAGTAGCTACTGTCAGTAGCTACTGCTAGTGCTACTGCTACTGACCATGCTACAGATGTTAGTACAACATCTACAGCTCGACCATGCTACAGATGTTAGTGCAAAATCTACAGCTCCTCTACCACAACCATCAGCAACAAGTGGACATGGAGAATTACATGAACTACATGTTGCTAAATCCACCGCGGGGCATAAACAGAAGGGTAGCCATGGCAACATTGCTGCGGGGCTGCTCCGGGGTCTTCTTCGCTGCTTTTGGTGTATTTTGTGGCGGAAGTTACAGCGCCACTTACAGTCCCGGCATATGTACTACAGCGTGTTCAGCGGTCTCGTTTGAACAGACACGTTAAATGAAACGAATGCATGTGAACGGAAGACTTTTTTGAAAGCGCATACTGTGCATAAACGCAAACGTGTCCCGTGTAAAAGCAGCCTAAAAGGTATATTAGTAGTGGGAAAGTAGCTTATCAGCGTCATATCAGTATTTATTGCCTCTACTGGGACATGTCTCCATGCTTTAATGTTCAAAAAGCTCTTTATTTTTCTCATACTGCCTGTGCTGCAGCACCTCTTTTCACTCTCTGTCTGAAACCAGAGCCCAGTCTGCTCTGATTGGTTAGCTGGAAGTGTGTGGGAGAGGAACACAGGTATTTTTAGCCTCTGCAGACCATGTACATACTCAAAAACCTATATAACACACTATAGGGAAAGGGAAAACTCCCCAAAAGCATAATAGGGCCACTTTAATTTTGATCAACTCCACTATAGATGTAGTAGAGCCCCCTATCTGATGTGTATTTATGTTGTTTTCTTTTGGGTGCCGAGCTGATGTGTGTGTTGTTGTTCTCCTGTGTGGTGTCTGCAGCTGGAGGATGAGGAGGAGCCGTTTGTGTTGGAGGACACCTGCGTGCTCAACACAGACAACATGGACGCTCACTCCTGTGACACCTCCTCTCTGGCCAGCTCTGACAGTGGAGACCCAGCACACCTCAAACGGCAAGATGAGACACACACACATACACATAAACATACACACATACACACATACACACATACACACATACACACAACCAGACACACATACACACAAAAACAAAACAGACACACAAAAACAAAACAGACACACAAAAACAAAACAGACACTGCTACAGCAGTCAAAGCAGCACCAGCATCAGCCAATACAAACCTCCTCTATCACTAACCGGCCAAACGAACAACAAAAACACAACACACAAATGTGTGTACCTGTGTTTACTTGTTTCTGTGTGTGAACTGTGAGCGTGTACCTGTGTGCAGGAAGAGGAGGACGGTGGACCTGAACGCCACGGTGCACGGGTCTGTTCTCCGACACAGCCTGCTGAAGGGCATCTCTGCACAGATCGTCTCTGCTGCTGTAAGACACACACACACACACACACGCACACGCACACGCACACGCACACATACACACACAGGTATGCTTTTTCTTTTTTTAGCTAATTTGACAAGTGCTTAAAGATGCTTTACAAAGATAAAAATAAAAGTTTAAAAAATACAACTCCCATTACAATGATTCGGTAGTCCAGCTTTAGCTCTTTCGTAGATTGTGTTGTGCTGACAGGGATTTTATTTGGAGGACTTTTTGTAACTGTAGTCTCTACCTCAGTCCTAGCTACAGCATTGTACTTGTGTTACACGGGACCATTATAACATGTGTTTATTTTCTTCAGGACAAAGTGGATGCTGGCCTGCCGACGGCTATAGTGAGTATTCATTTATTTACCAATAAACCAACTGAACAAAGGGATATGGTTTTAGTTGAAGGAAAATACTTTTGATGATAATGATATGATGCACAACTGGAGTTACCTACTGTAACTCCAGCTTCTATGAGTATAGGCGTAGCCCTCTAAGGCTATCGCTATTGGGTAATCCCCTGCGCACCCGCGCAGCACTGAAACACTTGTAGTCCACGCCCGCCCGCGAGGTGGGCCCCACCCTCGGGCTCCCTTCCGGTATAAATAGGAAGGAGGCCCGACAATCTGCTCCCACACAAACAACTTTTTTTCAGCTATTCGTGGAGCCAGTGGGGCCCAGAACTTAGAGGGCTACGCCAATACTCATAGAAGCTGGAGTTACAGTAGGTAACTTCAGTTCTATTTCGTATATGGCTTCGCCCTCTAAGGCTATCGCTATTGGGTTAAGGGTGAAGCAAGATGTAGTCTGCGCCCCACTGGGTCCGCCCGGTACCAGAAGCACAGACACACCTGCTCAGATAATAACCCATGCCTATTGCGCCATGCGAATGGCGCATCACAGTCCCTGGAATATAGCATAACATGAATATTTACCATGAGAGGACGAAGGCTGGGAATAATACATACCTGCCGCTGTGAAAAAGTAGAGACGAAGGTCACACTTTGCCCAGCGACAAAAAAAGGGGGAACAAGGGCAGCTCTCTGCGTGCAGACAGGCAGGAGAGCGCACAGCTGGATCCCTGACATCACTCACTCTGACAAGACACTCCGTACGAAATGTGTCAGAGGAAAAAAGGAAACATCCCTCTCATAAGAGGGAAAAAGGGCCGCTCTCCGCGTGCCGAGAGGCAGGAGAGAGGCGCACAGCTGGATCCCTGACGTCACTCACTCTGACAGGACACTCAGTACAGGGTGTGTCAGAGAGGAATGGGAGACATCCCTCAAATACAATTGAATAAATGAACAGGGGGAAGACCAAGATGCAGCAATGCAAATGTCTTCCACTGACATTCCTCCGTGCAAAGCCGTGGAGGAGGAAATTCCTCTGGTGGAGTGCGCACTGATGTTCCCCGGGGGATCCACCCCAGAGGAGACATACGCCTGTGACACAGCCTCACACAGCCAGTGTGACAGCCGTTGTGCAGACAGAGGCTGCCCGAATGAGCGCTCTCTGTAATGCACAACCAGGCGCTGGGAACGGCGCAAAGCAGCCGTGCGCGCCACATAGCAGGACAGCGCGCGCACAGGACAGAGGAGATGAGATGTGGCTTCCTCCTCCGACCTGTGAGGAGGGGGAAAGAAGCCATCCTAGGTGATCACTCTTGACCTAAAAGAGCTCGTGCTGACCTTTGGCATAAAAGCCGGGTTAGGGCGTAAAACAGCTGAACTGCCATCTCCTTGGATCCGGAGACATGACGGAGCCACAGAGAGAGCAGACAAATCACTCACCCTTTTCGCTGATAGAGCCAAAAGTAATACTACTTTGGCTGATAACAGTTTAAGGGGAACCTGATCTAAAGGTTCAAATGGGGCTTTGCTTAGTGCGCGTAACACCAAAGCCAAATCCCACTGAGGCGCCAGTGCGCGTGACCCGCCAGTGCGCGTGACACAGGTCTGAGTCTCCGTACTCCTCGCATAAAACGGCTGGGTGGCTGCTGATCGCTCCCTCCGCCTGGGAGAGAGCGTCCCCACGCCACGGAATTTCCCACGGTCTGCCTGATAGCGTACGCTGTAGGCATGGAAACCAGGACGCTCCCGTGCGCTCCGGGGCTATCAGGACCGCTGATAGCCGCTTCTCCCGCACTCGGTCCGGGAACCAAGGGGTCAGCGGAACTGGTGGGAAAACCGTATAACAGCACCCTGGGCCACGGCCGATGTGCAAACGCGTCTACCCCCAGAGGGGGGTGATCCTGCGCTCTGCGAGCCCCTCTGTTCAATTCGCCGGGAATATACATTGCTCTGATGGAGAGCAACGTGTGTGCGCACCCAGAACAGCAGCCGCCTGGCTGCCTTCAGAAGCTGCGCAGATCGTACTCCTCCCTGGTGATAGAGGTATAGGCTGCCGTGGCCTGTTGTCTATACAATCAACACATGTTTGATTGTACAGAAACGGGGCGAAGTGCTGGAATACTTCCCAAAACGGAGAGCAGCTCCAGCACATTTACCTCTGACGCACGGGGTCAATGCGCAGGCGAATGAACCACCTCTGGAGTCTCCTCCTGTGGGGGAGACCCAGGGGGATCACCACGTGACCAACTGACGTCATGCTGAGCAGCTGTATCACGGAGAGGGCTGTCACCATGCTGCGGGATGTGGCACGCCGGAGGAGAGCTGTCAGTTTCTCCACTCTCTGCCGCGAGAACCGCGAGAGCCGCGAGAGCCGCGCTCTCATGCTGGCTGAGTTTAATTCCACTCCCAGATAAATAATTGTCTGAGAGGGAAGAGGACAGATCTTCTTCCAATGTATGAAAAAACCCAGGCTTGACAGATGTGATACGAGATGTACCGTCTGTAAGCAACTTCCTCCCTGGAGCGAGCCAGCAATAGCAGGTCGTCCAGATAAAACCACACTCTCATCCCTCCTCTGTGTAGTGGCTCCAGCCTTCTCTACACACTTTGAAAAAATGCGAGGAGCCAGGGAATATCCGAACGGCAGACTGGTCTGATATTCCCTGAAATGAGAAACACAGGAATTTCCTGTGTTTCGGGATGATAGGTATACGTGGAAGTATGCATCCTTCAGGTGGAAGTGAACCAGTCGTCCTGGTGAACACATTCCAGCACCTGTTTGATCGTCAGCATGTGGAATACTGACAGATCGAGGATGGGTCTCATCTTTTTCGGGATTAGAAAAATAACGGGAGTAAAAACCCCTGATTTTCCTCCCTTTGAGGAACCCTGGAAATAGTATTTTACAACAGGAGTTCCTGCAGCTCTGAATGGAGCGCAAGACACTGTTCCTGGGATGACAGGAGTGTTTCCTGTATCCCATTGAACTGTGGGGGGGAGGGAGAGAGGGGAGAGAGGCGAACTGCAGGGTGTACCCTCTGCTGATCGGCCTGCTCATCCATCTGTCCATCAGACACATGTGCTGCCACGAAGCCTCGGAGGGCATGGAGGGCTGCTCTGATGAGCGATGTTGTTCGCCGCTGCAGATGCCTGGAAGGCACACTGATGCATCCGGTCAGTCTGGCGGAAGACAAACTGGTCCCCGGGGGAGGAAAGCAAGGGACCGTGCTGGCCTGCTTCACCCCGAACAATGCCGTCAGGTTCGGCTCCAGGGGAGGCGCGGTCGGAAACCAATACCCGTTAACCAACATCCGTTAACCCCTTAGTGAGGGGGACGTATGAGGACACCGGAGCCTTCAGGCTCCTAGGGGCCACCGCCGCTCCCTCCTGGCACTTCCGGATGGCTGGGAAGCGCGGCCAAACCGGGTCACTCCTGACGGTCTGTACCCGGGAGAAACACTCCTGCCACCGGCAAGAGAGGTCTCCTGAGCCGGGGGAACGAGGAGACCTCTCCAGGCGGCTGCCTTTTCGATGATCTCCGGCAGTTCCTGCAGGATCCCGCCTATCGACGGCAGAGCCGTGATGGCGGAAAAAGGGACCGCGCGTCCCACAGCTGGGCCAGGCCGGCACCGGGCTCCATCTCTGTCTCCTCCGTCCGGGGGAGAAACGGGATGGGGAAACCACACGGTGATCCGTGGATGGAGGCGGGGTAGGAGTCCTCCGACTCCTGCCCAGCACTCGGATCCAGGAACTCAAGGGCTTGGTCCACGGAGTAGGACTCCTGGACTGGCCAATCATCCTCCTCGGCCGCAGTAGCGAGAACGTCCGCTCTTCGCTGTCTGTCGGCCAGAGGGAGACGGGCACAATGACAATGAGCACATGACACCTGCTGGGCGAGAGCTGCGTGCGCATCCTCCGACCCCAGGCAGGATTCGTCTGGCATGAGGAGCAAACTCTAACACAACCCTGTGTACTCATGTTTAAGGATCTTTTTCGAGGTGGCTCTTAAAAGAGCCTTTACTCTTTAGTGTTTCTACAGTGCTTCAGTACCGGGGTGCTGAAGAAAAGAGGGAGCAGATTGTCGAGCCTCCTTCCTATTTATACGGGAAGGGAGCCCGAGGGTGGGGCCTACCTCGCGGGTGGGCGTGGACTACAAGTGTTTCAGTGCTGCGCGGGTGCGCAGGGAATTACCCAATAGCGATAGCCTTAGAGGGCGAAGCCATATACGAAATAGAACATCTAGGTTATTATTGTTTTAATCACAATGGTTATATCTATTAACTATACACCGTTCCAGAAGGTTTTATTCATAATTACACTGAAGCAGTCACAACCTTCATACAGAACTTTAATGTGGAAATTGTTAGAGAGATGTCGGGGAAAAGCTTAAAGCGAATGTGTGTGTGCACAAGGGATCCTTGTTGTGGTCCTTCATTGTATCAACACTGGTGGATGCATAAAGTTTGATAATATCATAATGTTCTTTTGTCTTGTTTTGTGTCCAGACAGTGGCGGGTGTGATTGTGGTAGGAACGTCTCATGGTCTGGCTCTGGTCTTCGGTGAGTCTAACCTTGATTTCGCTCCTTAAATACAAAACTTTTTACTATGCAAGTATAACACAAAGACTGTAGATTTATTTAATTAAGTGTAGTAATCATTTACTAAGTGAACATTTACTTTACATTTCACTAACACATGTTTTTGCTGTGATCCCACCTGTTGCATGTGTAGTGGTTTTGTAGTTCTGTGCTTGAGTTGCAACAGGGTCTTATTTATTTATTTCTCCCCTCCCGTCCCCCCTTTGGTTTGTGCACTAAGGTTCAGAAGCCATGAGTTTAGCACCAGCAGTGACACGAGAGGGCCCCCCCCCCTCCACACAAAATAGAAAACACATATATTCATATAGTTAAAAGAAAGTAAAAACACAAGAAGTTAAAGTGAAAATGTTCACATTGTATGACAATATGTAACATTTATATTACAAAATGCTTTGGTGTATTTGTATGAATATGATATTATTGCTGAATTGCATAGTTTATAAGAGTTTGGCTGCTGATGGTGAAGTATGTCCTAGTGCCAGTCCATTATATTATATCTAAGATGATAACCAACAGTATGTATTTATACTCTTATTTGATACTGTCAGTCACTTCAGCTTGAAAGCTAAATCATACTACCATAATTAAACAACTGGATTTGGCTAGCTGCTACAATTTCCTAATGTAGGTCCTCTTAGTGTTGTGTTTTTTAATTTAAAAGTGTGAATCATGGAAGTTGCCTACCTAACTTATAGCTCTTATTTAGAAGCTCTTCATCCCATAATAATGTATGCATTATAAATACATAACAAACCCAAAACAATGAGCTTCTGCTATAAAAAGCTTGCAGTAGATGGTTAAAAGTATCCATGTGTGTAAAGGTACAAAACAATTAAGTTCATCTTGGGACAAACCTGTAACTTCTCTTGGTTTACCACGTGTTCTTTGACTTGTTGAAACCTGCTATACAAATGGTTAGGTGTAAGTGGAAAAGGTTTATGTACATAACCAAAAATAATTCAAACATGCATCCACACACTCATACTGAGACCCGTTATCGTTTGCGGGGTCCGTTTCTATCGTTTTGTTACGGCCTCGTGTAAACGAAAGGGCTATACGCAAGAGAAACTATGCGGATACAACCCGTATCGTCCTCGTGTAAACAGGGTCTGAGTACTCTGATGGGTGGCTGTGGCACAGGAAGTAGAGTAGTTGTCCACCAATCAGATGGTTTGATCCCCATTCCCTGCATTCATGCTGATGTATCCTTGGGCAAGATACTTAACTCTGAATTGCTCCTGATGGCCCACGGTGTGAGAGTGTGATAATGTTAGTTTCCCTGAGCAGATGGCAGCTTGTATGGCAGCCTCTGCCTCTGTATGAATGGTGTGAATTGTATATGTCAAATTGGAAATGTCCATATTAACCTTTATAAATAAGGCTAATGGTAGACCTCTGTGTCATAGAGAACACACTAGATGTTTTATTAGCATTTTCTTTTAAAGAGGACAGGGTTTGATGGACAAAGTATTTTTATTTGTAATTAGGCATCAACTAAAATATCCAGAATATAGTGTACAATCATGTGTACTCATATTTTAAGTATAGTGAATAATTAGCACGTCTTTGTCAGTTGATTGAATTTCACACATATTCACATATTTGACCGAAATGATTATGGCATATAGCTCACATAGCAGAAGGGTTTCTCCTTGTCCTAATACATGCCTGTGTCACTGAGGTCCACCCTCAGGACCGCCTCTCCTGAGTCTGACATGGAGGCGCTGACAATCACATAATCCCCCTCATAAGAAATGCCCGAGCCGTCACCCTTTGCCCTTACGAAATTATTTTCACTTCCATTATACATCATATCATAAAGGTTGTAGTCGCAGTCGTTCCCCCTCTCAAAGATCCCCACGGCGAACCAGTTGGAGTACATCATGCGGTCGAAGGGCACGGAGAACATGACGGCCATGACATGGCTGTAGTCGTTCAGGTCGGGGTTGTAGAGGTCGTAGGTGAAGACCCCCACGGCCCCCGTCGCAGCGCCGGTGCTCTTGTTGAACAAACCACTGGAAGCAGAGCAGGGGCCCACCATGGGGGGCATAGGGACCTCACAGCAGCCACTCTCTGTGAACACCCTAAACAAAGAAACACAGAAACACAAAAATCAGACATACTTGCAGAAACCATTTTTCCAAATCATACCATATATCTAATATTCATGAGCGGGGTTAGTGTCCCTCTGTACAAGCATGTGAATACACCTTCAAAGCTGTTTCTGAGGTTACAGGTCACATGACAATTTGAAACACAACATGGCCAAAAGTAGGAAAGCAGTGTCTGACCTTGGGTTGGAGAGCGTGTAGCAGCCAGAGTTGTTGTTGATCTCAACAGAGCAGAGGCGGTGAGGCATTGTGATGAGGTGTGGGGGGGTGGCTGTGAATGAGAGACAAGACGGAGTCAGCTCAGCTAATTCAGATATTCAGCGAGCAATACAGCTGTTTGTGAGACTTGGTTAGAGTTCAGTGTGTGACTTTGAGACTTGTGCCATTTACCACGTGTTCTTTGACTTGTTGAAACCTGCAATACAAATGGTTAGGTGTAAGTGGAAAAGGTTTATGTACATAACCAAAAAATAATTCAAACATGCATCCACACACTCATACTGACTGTAGCCTGCTGAACGCTCTGCTGCCCTCTAGTGTCCATCCTTTCTATACATCCCTTAAAGCAGCGGTTTTCAAAGTGTGAGGCGCGCCTCCCCTGGGGGGCGCCAGAGAGCTTCAGGGGAGGCGCAGCGTGAGACAAAAAATAACGAGAAAAGATGAGAAAAGTGACACTTGCCCACTGTTGGCTGTCTGTGGAGACCGAGTTCCCCCACCTCGCCAAAAAGGCTGTAAAAGTGCTCATTCCCTTCACCTCCACCCACCTGTGTGAGTGCGGGTTTTCCGCATGGACTTTGATCAAAATCAAGTGCCGAGTATGATCTGCGTTTATTCCTGTGTGCATCAAAGACGCAGACTCATTGTTCCCACTAAAGTAGGGGTGAGTGTAATAAGGAGGCAAAATTGACGTTCAGTGTGTTGCCGGGAACATATAAGGATTTATCCACGATGTTGAAAATGTTAAAAATGTTTTAAAAATATGTGTTGAGAACACGGCGTGCGAAAATATACGGGTCGTGCTGCAGCTAGATTTGCCTGTCCTCTGTAAGAAGGCGACTGACATGCGAGGAAGAACGGCTGTCCACAGGCTGTTCCAACTTTAACAACTTTATTAACTTCCAGGGTAGTGAATTGAACATGCTATTGTAATTGGGTGTGTGGTATATTTTCGTGCACGGACACGCATGTTCCACAACACACAAACTGAACAACACTCAATTGTCCGATCGCTACCAGTGTCCTTGCGATCTTGTTATAACGATAACAACAAAGTGCACGTTATTACTGATGCAATATGGTTGAGACCATTTGGGCTTATTCTAGAGGGGTGCAAGGAATAGTCCAAGTAGTGGGGGAGTTGTATACAATATGTTTAAAACATAAAGATAAAAAGGTTTAAAAAAGTTATTGTTTAATGTTTTAAGGAGGTGACGCTACTCAGCCAATCAAATCGGTGCAGTCAGTGAGCCAGCACGATAGATTCAAACACACACACAGAGACGAGACAAGAGGAGAGAAACAGTCTTCATTTTATCTTACTGGACCTCTTTGAAATGCAATTGAATACCCCTGCATTATAGCAACAACAACAATGATAATAATAATAATAGCAATAATAATTGGGAGGGGGGGCGCGGCTGTTCTTATGTTCTCTGAGGGGAGGCTCACCTTCCCACACTTTGAAAACCCCTGCCTTAAAGGACACCTATCATGCTATATTTGAACAATATATTGTAGGGCCATACCTATATAAAGTATATAAATATAGTTTTTTTTTCAAAATACCAAACAGATCCTGCATTTTAGCCATGCCTCATTTCGCTCCATTTGCTCTTTCCAGCACTGTTTTTGCAGGGGGCTGATTATGTGAGCTGCAGCTGACCACGCACCCCTGCAGTAGAGGGGAGAGTGCTCTGAACAGCTGCTGGGCTGTCAGAAGAGGGGGGAGATCTCCGTCCTCCGCGTTTTATTATATTATTATATAGAGTCGTTATTCATTTGTTTTAAAGCTCAATAAATAACAAAGAAGACCTTTGACCGGCACTTTTCTAATTTTGTCCGGAAGATTTAAACTTTAACGGACATCTTGACCGGCGGAAAAAAACCTAACTGAAACTCTGCTGCACGGTCCCCTCGTTCCTTGGAAGAGGCGGAGAGGTGGGTGTTTGTCATCTGCTGGTGGACTAACCGGAGAGAATTACAGTGCTTGCCTCGACAGGGAGGGATTGCATTGAATTACAGCAGCAGGAGCAAACGCTTGCCTCGGGGAGGGAGAAAAAAAGCCACAGCGGAGAATAAACAGAAGGGCAACCATGGCAACCGGAATGCGCGGGAAGTCTTCTTCGCTGCTATTGTGGCAGACTACAGCGCCACTTACAGGCCTGGCATATGTACTACAGCGTCTCCAGCGCTTTCGAGCGGCAATGGCCGGCCGTGGCCCAACCCCACATTCCCCTGATAGGTGGAGAGTTGGCCCAATAGCCGTAGCGCCACCGTCCTGACGTCAGGACAGTGTTCAAATCTGGATCAGTTTTTATCAGATCTGTTGCAGCCCCTTTTTTAGAGATTTGGGTATGAAGGAAAATAGAGAGGGTTGTGTTTTCTGACACTTGGTGAGTTCCCTGGAACACCGGGGACACATATTAATGTGTAAAAGACGTACAAAAGTGCATTTTGCATGATAGGTCCCCTTTAACATAGGCTTACTGCAGGGGTCGGCAACCCCTGGCACGGCACCGTAACCAGTGGCACACTAGGAATAAGTGGAATAAGTGTGCAAAATATTTTTATTTTATTTTCGGATCTCTTCTAAGACCGTCCTGGTCCATAGATCGGAGAAAGCTTCCCCTC